AGGAGAAATGGTGTACTTATCTACAAAATACCTGAAGTCCCTACAACCCTGTAAAAAACTGGGACCAAACTATATAGGGCCTTTTCCAATTAAAAGAATCATAAACCCAGTAACAGTAGAATTAGAATTACCAAAAAATCTCAGGCAAATACACCCAATTTTTCATTGCAGCTTGCTGAAAAGAGAGCATCAATCATCGTTACGGCCTAAAATCCCCCCACCACCACCTCCAATCATGGTAGAGGGTGAACAACACTTTGAGATAAAGGAAATCTTAGATTCTAGGAGATATCATGGAGCGACTCAGTACCTAGTTGCATGGAAACACCTCCCTGCCTCACAAAACGAGTGGGTCCATAAACGTCATGTCAGAGCCCCGAAGCTATTAAAGAAGTTTCACACAGAGTATCCTAACAAGCCTGACTAACTTTTATACCTGTTTTGTTATCTTTCAGGTGGATCTCTCTTATTTTTAAGGGGGCAGGATGTCAGAATCCAAATATATTCCATCTCTAGTTATCAACTATGGAAAACCAGATTTCTGCCTTCTCTGGATTCTGTCATACGATGAAGGGAAAGGGGTGAACAAAGGGGCTTTATGGCCCTCACTTCCTTCAGTCTACTTCAAAGGGACTGGATGTGGATATCACCAAAAGGACTAACAATAACAATGGGGGTCATTAGCTTTCATGTAATCCTTTCTGAAGTCTCCTCCCGGCAGTGAGGAAAAGGGGGTGAGAATGTAATGCCTGGGATTGTCGCTGGGAGAAGGGGGTGATGGGGTGTGGCTAATGGGGGATCCCTTAAAACCTTGAATGGGAGAGCTTGGACCCAAGTCCTGTCTAGAATGCCTGCAACCAGCTTTCTCTTAATAAAGATGCCTGTTGGAAGAAATATTCCAGGAGTTCTGTCTTCTTAAGATGCAAAGTGGGGTGGGTCCTTACACACAGTTTGAATAGTCCAGTTTGTAATTAAATCCACAGCAAATAGGCGTCGTGTCCAAAAGTGCAAAGTTATTCGCCAGAGATTTAGCTTTGTCCGTCACAGAGTCCGAATGGCCACCACACTCTCTTTTATAGCCTGTGGGGTGGGGTCCAGTGACTCAGCTTAATCTCTGGCATGCCTCCTTTTCTGCTGCGCATGCTTGTCTCGCCTACGCTGGCGTGGGTCCAGCCACAATGTATCTTCGCCACTATCTGACGGCTCAGAAACACCTGGCTCCTGGCCAATCTCTTCTCCGTCGGGAGACACCTGAGGCATTGCCAGAGAGGAGGGTCCTGGAGAGAGAGGCCTGGTCATCTCCTCTCCTTCATGTTTGGAGCCTTCTTCCTCCGATAAGATGGGCTCACAGGATGGAACCATAACACTCACGTCACAGGTGCTTCCCGCCATTCAAAGGCATCTTCTCGCCAGAGCCAAGCATCCCGAGCCTCAAGTGCAGAGAGTCTTGCTGCCTGTCTCAGGGAAGCATGAATCAATACCGCAATGGCTGACATCGCTGCACAAGCAGCAGTAGAAGACAAGCAACATAAAGAAGACTTAGCCAAAGTGGAGACGGCAACAGCTCTACATGTAGCAGAAGCAGAGCGAGAGCAAAGAGAAGCTCAGACCAACTTTGAGATTTTCCAGCGACAATGGAGAGCAAAAGAGGCAGCCGCAATAGAAGCGATCCTGCAGAAAGAGCTGGAAGATGTCACATCTACGCCCAAGTTGGAAGGACTAGGGAGGAAAAGTCCTCATAGCCGTGTGCAGGCCTATGTGGAAAACCAAAGCACATTTCAGCATGAGCAGGTGAGAGCGCCACAGCCAGCCACAAGCCCCCCAAGACCGAGTAGACGAGGAGAAGAATTTCAATGGCCAAATGCGCTGGTCAGCCACAAAGTTGATGTCGCGATATCTAGCCACAAGATCTTCCCACCGTTGCTGCCCCATTGAACCCACTAAACCATACTTTCGATGGCAACCGGATGGATCCACCTTCAGCGCCAATGGCTCAACAGCAGAACCAGCTGCCGCTCGGGGATGAGATTGAAAGAACTCGAGCCAGACTAGAGTCCCTGCTGCGCCAACAGGAGGCAGCGTCCCAAGGAACCACTACCAGACCTGACCACAGAGGACAACCTCAACCATCAGCCATGCCAGCCTACCAGGGAGCCAGCTACGCTCCACCCGAAAGACGAGAAACCTTCCAACAAGTAAGCACGCAGAAACTTGGGTCCCCTCAGCTCAACGCCAGAGCAGAGGAGTTCAGACCAAGCCAACAAGGTCCCTCGCACGTGACATGGCAAAACACCCTCAGCCAACAATATGCCAAAGGAAGTTACCAGTCAGCCATGGCGCACGCCCCTGCTCCCAGAAGGATGCACCACCTCCATCAAACTGCAGTTCACACATGGGATTGATGCAGCCCCCAATATTTGTTGGAAGAAGGTTGGACTTGGCAGCCACAGGTGTGCGAAAATTCTCCGACAAACCAGGGAAGGACTATTTAGTGTGGAACCATCTTTTCAAGCAAGCCCTCCGCGGGGAGAAGTTACATCCTGGAGAAGAACTCAGTCTTATGTCACAATGGCTAGGTCCCGAATCCTCAAAGGCAGTGGAAGCATTCATCACATTATGTTTAACGGACCTACCCACCGGCCTTCAGCGAACTTGGGAAATGCTCGACAAACGCTATGGGGCATCTTCTTTGGCACAGCCTCATTCCTACAGGAGCTCTATGACTTCCCCAATATCAATATCAATGATCCTGGTCAGATTTGGAAATTCTCCATCTTACTAGAAGAGCTCCAGGCAGCACAAGAAAGTGGCACCATGCCTGGGCTTGCCCGCCTTGAACATTTTGACACTTAGAACATTATCACTCGAAAACTACCTAGGCAGTTGAAAGATAAATGGTATGATATAACCGAGTCCCACAGGGAACAGTATCCCAGTGTACCTCCACCCTTTGCTGCTCTTGCAAAATTTGTTTCCAAGCAATAGGATATGTACAATGACCCCAACTACCTTGACGTCCACGAAACACATTTCACGATGCCAAAACGGATCAATCACAACTGTGGCCCTAATAGAGGTTATTTCCAAGCCACAAAGGACAGAACAACTATTTCAGTGTACAAAACAGACATCAAGCCTCGCCCAAAGACTTCCGATGAACGAACACCGAGGAGTTCTCATTCGAATCCTCATCCACCTAGAAAAGGCCTGACTTGTCCAATTCATAATTCCTCACATTCTCTAAACGATTGTAGAGAATTTAGGAAAAAATTCCTGGATGACCGAAAGGCCCTACTGAAAGAGCATAAGATATGCTTCAAATGCTGTGACTCTATGGATCACATGGCCAAAGACTGCACAGCTAGAGTGGAATGCCACCTGTGTGACAGTGACAAACACCAGGCAGGCCTGCATTTAGAATCTAAGAAGCCCTCTGAGGAGATACAACAAGCAACTCCCACCCCTACCACGATGACAAACACTCAATGCATCTCCACAATGCTCCCAAAAAGGGACCAGGTGCACTGTATACAAATATGTGGCAGTTCATCGCACCCTCCTTCATGCTCCCCTATCTTTCTAGCTAAAGTTTATCCAGATGGAAGACCAGAAAAGGCTGCGAAGATGTATGTGGTATGCGATGTACACAGCACTACCATGATAGCTACGTCTGCCTTTTTCGATCTCTTCGACCTCCCGACCGAACTGAGTTCAGAGTACAAGCCATCACAGTGCCTATGAGCACGGTGGGGAGAACAATCTCCGGACTACGCATAGAAGCAATAGACGGGAGCTCTCATTTCTTGTTCCCACCAGTGATGGAATGGGACAACTTACCGGTTGAGCGGGATGAGATTTTGACACCAGAGATGACAAGAAACTTCCCTCATCTAGCACGCATAGCCGATCTTATCCCTCCCCTGGATACCAAAGCCGAGATTCTACTATTGGTGGGATGGAATGCCTACAAAATCATCGGCAATGAGGAAAGAATCAGAGGCCCACCAGGCACACCGGTAGCCATTAAGATGGATCTCGGATGGGCCATCACAGGAGCAGCATGTATCGATAAGCTACAAACTCCAACCCAAACGACCGTCATGAAAACTTCCATTCTCAACAATGGGAGACTTTCTCACCTAGAACCATGCCAAGAACACTTCACGCTTTCCCCTGCCAAGCCTATTGTGGGAGCAGCGGTGTTCCAAACTAGTATCCACAACAACGATGTGGGACTGTCGATAGAGGACAAAGAATTTCTAGACATCATGGATAAAAAATGTCTACAGGATGAAACCGGAAGTTGGGTAGACCCCCTACCTTTCCGTATACTCAGGCAGCATCTACCTAACAATTATGAGCAAGCTCTCTCTCGGCTCAACAACCTACGACGAACCATGAACAAGAAAGCTGAAATGAAGACACATCTGGTAGACTTCATGGAAAAGATGTTCCAGAATGGACATGCAGAACCAGCCCCTCCAATGAAGGAAGGAGAAGAGTGTTGGTACCTACCATTCTTCGAGGTATACCACCCACAAAAACCAGGACAGATCAGAGTGGTTTTCGACGCCAGCACACAACACCAAGGGATCTCCCTGAATAAAGTCCTTCTTACAGGACCTGACCTCATCAATAGTCTGCTAGGAGTACTCATCCGCTTCAGAAAAGAAGCTGTGGCTGACATGGCAGACATCCAGCAGATGTTTTATTCATTCTACATAAGGGAAGATCACCGCAATTACCTGCGTTTTCTGTGATTTAGCGATGACCAGCACAACCAACAGGTGACTGAATACAGAATGCGAGTACACGTTTTTGGCAACGGTTCTTCCCCCGCAATCACTAATTACGGCCTGCAACGCAGCGCCCGAATAGGTGAAGTCGAGTACGGCACCGATGCCAGATGCTTTGTAGAATGGGACTTTTACATTGATGATGGCTTAAAATCTGTGCCAACCCCCGCCGAAGCCATAAACCTAATAAAAAGAACACGCGGAATGCTAGCGGCAGCTAACCTTAGGTTGCACAAAATCGCATCCAACAGCGAAGAAGTGTTAGCGGCCTTCGACCCTGACAATCATGCAAAAGGCCTAAAAGACCTCGATTTTGGCACAGACGATCCTCATTTACAACGTAGTCTCGGCTTGTGTTGGGATTTGAAGAAGGATGCCTTCACCTTTAGAACTCCGACGAAAGACAATGCCTTCACGAGAAGAGGTGTCCTTTCTACAGTAAACAGTCTGTTTGACCCCTTGGGCTTTGCTGCACCTATAACAGTCCAAGGTAAGCTTCTTCTACGCTCACTCTCCCAAAACACCACTGATTGGGATAAGCCGCTCCCACCAGAACACAAACAGGAATGGGAGAAGTGGTGCAAATCCCTCAGTTGCCTACAAAACACATTCATTCAGCGCACGTATATTCCCCTCTCATTGGCCGCTGCAACAAAAGGGAACTACACATGTTCTCAGATGCCTCCATACAGGCTATCACAGCCATAGGATACATCAAAGTCTACAGCGGGGAGAGTTGTAACATTGGTTTCATCATGGGGAAAGCAAAACTGACACCACTACAGAGCCACACCATACCCAGGTTAGAACTCTGCAGTGCTGTTCTAGCCATAGAGATAGCAGAACTAATAACAAAGGAATTGGATCTCGAATTACAATCCACACGGACAGCAAGGTAGTACTAGGCTACATCCACAATCGAAGTAGGCGCTTTTACATCTATGTAAGTAATAGGGTGGAAAGGATTAGAAGATCTTCAGACCCTATCTAGTGGTGATATGTGGCAACATACCAGAATCCAGCTGACCAGGCAACACGGTCCATTCCTGCTTCAAAGTTGGCAGATTCAGTTTGGTTAAAGGGTCCTGATTTTTTGGCGCATCCAGACAACCAGACGTTGGAAGAACCAGAGAACTATGAACTGCTAGAACCAGACCAAGACGACGACGTATGACCCCAGGTACCCAATAATTTGCCAGGACGGAGCGTAACATCGACCACTCATATCATTTTTCTCTATACAGATGTCAAGGAGAAAATAAAATCATCTCCTCGGCATTCTCTGGACACCGCTCATTTCGAATGCTTCTCCAGGTGGAGGCCTCTTGTAGCAGGCATAGCAGTAATAGTCCATTTTCTGCACCGCAATATAAGCGTCCCAGAAAGTCGCCTCCAGGCCAAAAGAGGGATTCTTCGAAGCACGCAACAAGACGTACCCATTGGACTTTGAATGTCTGAAGCAAACAGGGCTCTCCCAAAGAATAGTTCCCTGCTGAAATTGAATCCATTACCTGAGTCCGGTAAGGAGAAGGGCGGGATATAAATTGAATTAATAAATTAATAAATAAATTGCTGCGAGTAGGAGGGCATCTAGCCAAAGCTGAGCTAGCGTCAGACTTCAAACACCCTATCATCGTTCTGACTTGTCAATATATCACACACCTGTTAGTTCAATATCACCACAACACCGTCCAGCATCAAGGTAGACATTTCACGGAAGGTGCCATCAGAGCAGCAGGCTTCTGGACCGTGGGAGCCAAAAGATCCATTGCCACCATCCTGCACAAATGTCTACATTGCCGTAGGCAAAGAGGGGCAACACAACACCAATTAACCTACCACCCGAGCACCTAACACCTGAACCACCTTTCACCAACGTAGGCCTAGACGTATTCAGACCTTGGGCCGTATCGGCTTATCGAACCAGAGGTGGTCATGCCAACAGCAAATGTTGGGCTGTACTTTTCACATGTCTCAGCATCAGAGCGATCCATATAGAAGTCATCAAAGCTATGATTTCCTCTTCTTTCAACCATGCGCTAAGAAGATTCCAAGCCCACAGAGGCCCAGTCAAAGTATTTCGATCCAACCGCGGAACTAATTTTGTAGGGGCCTGCAAGGAACTGCAAATCGATGAAGGCATTCGTCCCGACTCAAAGATTGGCAAGTACCTAAAGGCCCAAGATTGTGTCTGGACTTTCAATCCTCCCCATGCATCTCACAAGGGAGGAGCGTGGGAACGCATGATTGGCGTAGCCCACAAAATCTTGGACCCTCATGGCGGAAGTTGCAGCTATCGTCAACACTCGACCGTTGGTTCCAGTATCTTCAGATCCTGAAAATCCAACCATCCTCACCCCAGCTATCTTATTAACTCAAAAGACAGGCGATTGGCCAGCACTAACAGGAAATTTTGCCACCAAAGACTTGTATGTCCAACAATGGAAGCAAATTCAGCTACTGGCCAACACCTTCTGGAAGCGATGGAGGCAAGAGTATTTATCTACCCTCCAGGAGCGGCGTAAGTGGAAGACCAAAGAACCCAACCTATAAGAAGGCGATCTAGTCTTGCTGAAAGACAAAGATGCTCATAGAAATTATTGGCCCATGGGGCTCGTGCATCGGGCCCCACCGAGTTCTGATGGTCTAGTTCGCCAAATTGAGGTTCAGATAGTGAAGCCACACGAGAACAATCGAGACTCCATGACTCTCGCAAAAAAGCTTTACACCCGGCCAATCACCGACCTGGTCCTGTTGCTAAAGAAGACCGAATTGGAAAATTGAACCTCAGAACTCCAGATGTTGTTCCTGTTTCTTCAGTTCCTGCTGTTCCTGAGTTTCCAGTTCCAGCTGTTTCTGAGATTCCAGATGTTCCTGATACTGATTCTTCAGCTCCAGATGTTCCTGAGTTTCCAGCTTCAGCTGTTCCTGTTTTTCCAGGTTCTTCAGTTCCTGAGTATCCTGTGAATCCAGTTCCCTTTGTTCCTAAGAAATTTTGGGTTCCAGTTTTTCTGTTCCAGATTTGGTTCCAGTGTCCTTTACAGGAAGAAGACTTTGTCTTGCTGAGAGACAAGAATGCATACCAGAACTATTGGGCCATGGGACTTGCGCACCGGGCCCACCCAGTTGATGAACTAGTTTGCCAAGCTGAGGTCCAGATCGTGAAGCTACGTGAGTCAGGTCGTGACTCAAAGACTCTTGTACCAGGCTGATCACCGATTTGGTCCCGTTGCTGACAAAGATTGAACTAAAAGATCAAACTTCAAACTATGTATAGTGTTTATGCATTGTTTGATGTAACACTTGCTTATTTTTGTTATAATTGTGCATGTTTTATATTTACTTTATAGTTATGCATGTTTGATACCATGATTTTACCTATTTAGTCACAAGTTAGTTAACAATGAGTATTGCATGCCTTAATGCTATGTTTTTTGCTATTTCAGTTAGTTAGTAGTGGAAATGTAAATTTCCAAGCGGGGAGTGTTCTGAATCGTATAGCTCTATGTAACCCTAACTAGAGAGCATGTATCTGTATGTTAGAATATCTGGCATATATTGGGTTAAGTGCTGTCTCCTTAAGAGATGGATTATGGGAAATGTAGTTTAGCTAGTCAGTCATCCCATGTTGATGGTAAGTGGGAGGAGTTTCTAAAGGGTATTGGGAGACTTCCTGGATACAAGCCAGATTGGAATGTCTTTATCTGAAAGAAGCATGGGCCGTCAGATGTCACCCGATGACCCTGTTCCGCTATAGAGATGATATGAAGAGAGTATCATTCTTTCACCTATAGAAATGGACAGAGACGTATTATCAGAGGCAATGGTCATGAATGCAAGTAATCTATCTGATTAAATATGTTTTTGTTATGAAATCATTTCTATTGAGTTTATCTATCTGATTTGATTTAAGAAGGCGTTTTAACTCAAGATCAGAATAATTAGCAAAAATATTTAAAAATATGTCAGATAGATGTTGGAAATGTAAGCACAACCCAGGCACGTACTATCACATTTGGTGGATATGTGGCAAAGCAAAGGCTTATTGGAAAAAAATACATGTGTGGTTAGAAAAAATATTAGGTGAACGTGTTGATTTTAAACCTGAATTTTTCTTACTAGGTATATTATAATGCCTGAAAAGATTAATAAGCAAAGTCTATATTTGATTTTATATATCACCACAGCAGCGAGAATAATCTTTGCACAATACTGGAAGAATGAAGGACTACAGTAAGAGGAAGAAATAATCAGAAAAATATTGGAATGTGCAGAGATGGACAGATTAACCATGAGATTGAAAGATAAAGAAGATACAGATTACTACCAAACTTGGGACTTATTTTATTGTTGGCTAGAGGAAAGAATGAAGGATTAGGAATTGAATATGTATTAGTATAGCTGAGCCCAGACTCCTCATTGGTTGAAAAATTAACACGTATGTAAACGAATATCAATAAAATCTTTATTAAAAATTGATTGTGTGCAGACTATTACAGAAGTATTTTCTGGCCAGCTGGATCTAACTGACCAGCCATTAGAGGAAGTGGACAGGGACCTGTATACAGACGGTAGCAGTTTTATGAGACAGGGAGAAAGGCTAGCTGGCTATGCCATGGTCACATTGGATCAGGTAGTGGAAGCAGCAGCTCTCCCTGCAGGTACCTCAGCTCAGAAAACTGAACTCATTGCCTTGACAAGGGCCTTGGAATTATCAGAGGGTGCGGTTGTTAATATCTTTATAGACAGTAAATTTGCTTTTAGTGTTCTATATGTACATGGGGCTTTGTGGAAAGAACATGGTTTGCTCACCGCTCAAGGTACCCCTGTAAAATATGGACAGGATATTTTGAGCCTGCTGGATGCTATTTTGCTCCCATGCAGGGTGGCTGTCCTGCATGTGAGGGCCCATGGTAAGGATGATACTAAACATGGAAGAGGAAATGCCTTGGCCGATCGCACCACAAAATCTGCCACATCAGGTTCTCTGTCCCCTTCACTTTTGTTTGTGCTGGCTCCAACATACACTTTGCAGGATAGGCACAGAGCTTATAAAATGGATGCTGTTTTTCAAGGACAATGCCTTCTCCCAGATCATGAATTATGGGCCCTCTTGTGGAAATTGCATGCTAGCACTCACTGGGGTTATAAGGCACGTGAGGTGGTCAAGGCCCTTCTAAAGGAAATTATCCCACATTTTCCTTTCCATACCAAGGCATTGGCTCTGACAATGGGCCCCATTTTATCTCTGATATTACCCAGCAGGTTTCCTTTTCCAGAAACTCTGGAAATTGGTGCCAGGACACGTGTCAGGCCATCCTGACAGCATCCAGTTCAACACGCGTGTTAGCGTGTTATCAGTGGCTGTTTCTGCAGCCACATCCCCTGCATTGAGGGGAGACTCAGGCAAATCTTGGATAGCTAGGATGTGGTTAGCTGGAGCAGAATCTGATTCTAAGAGCTGTAGAGGCAACCTACTAAGGCCATCTGCGTGGCCCATTTCTTTGCCTGGTTTGTGAACCAGGGAATAGTCATAGGCAGAGAGGAATTTTTTTTTTTTACCAAACAATTTTTATTAATTTTCAAAAAAACCCACCAAATATACAAATACAGGCATACATTAATATCAGTAACAACTCATCTGCTTCTCAAAAATTTAACATCAGTACACCTGATTATTTTATATCTATTTCTACCCACCCACCCACTCCCAATCCCCCCTCAGACTTCCCAGAATTGATTACAGGGTTACAAACACCTCATCCCAAGTCAAAATATAAGTACCCAAATTTAAAACAAACAAGTATAAACATCCTTTAACTTTAAACATTAAAAAACAATCAAATAAAACTCTAAGCATATAACTAATAATAATCTATCCATCTTCCCCAAGTCACACTTAAAATTAATCTTACAAATATGCGGAAATCTTTATCATTTCTTCAAGACTTAAACATAATAATATCCTTAATTATAGTAAACATTATAAAATTTACTCATAAACTACAAAATATTTATCACTTTCTAACTTTCTCTGAATATAATCTACCCATCTTTTCTAAAATTTAAACAATAATCTTACCACTATTATAACATCAGCATCACATTCGTCTCTTTAAAATTCAAATCCCATAATAAAGTACGAATTATATCCCATATATCCAATCAATTATTTTAAAGTCTTTAACTAATTTTATAAATTCTCATTATATAAACTCTATTCAAAATACAACTCCTTATAACTAACTCCAATCCTTTAACACAACATAAATTCATTGCAAACTTTTTCAAATAATGAAATATTCTCTTTCTTTTATACAGCAAATTAACCATCAATATTTAAACATAAAAGTTTTAAAAATATAAAACTTCTAGAACAGACAAATGTATTGTAAATTAAATCCTTTTTGCTGCATACACATTATAACAAAATCTTCTGAAAAGTAAATAACAACATCTCTAGGTAGATTTCTCTGACGTACGACCCCTAAATTATATCTATAAATTTTTCTCTCTTGAAATTTCTTCAGGGTCGTACGCCAAAACCATAACCAGATCTATCGCAATCTCTTCTCTCAGCTTTTCCTGCATACCATATTTCAATCCTGTTCTCAAAACAAACTTCATGACTTCCACAGTTTCCTCTTTTGCAGATCCATCTTCCAGACCTTCCACTTTTTCTGGTAATTCTTCCACCCGTCGATGATAACAAAATCTTCTAGAAAAGTAGATAGCAACATCTCTGGACAGATTTCTCTGACAAACGACCCCTAAATTAACTGTATAATTTTTTTCTCTTGAAATTTCTTCAGGGTCGTATGCCAAAACCATATCCAGATCAATCACCATTTCCTCTCTCAGCTTTCCCTGCATGCCATCTTTCAATCCTGTTCTCAAAGAAAGCTCCATGTCTCTATAATATAACATATCGTTCTGAAATATATCCACAATATCTTCTATTAATTCATCCGCCCGTCATACTTGAGCTGTACAATCTTGAAAAACAAATTCTCTGTTTTCATAAAATCCACCAATTTCTTGTCCAAAAAATCCTCAGTTTCCTGTAAATCCTTGAATATAATTAACAGGGGGAGTAGAAGTAAAAACATTTTAAATTTAAACTATTGTAAAAAAAAAAAGGAAGAAAAAAAAAACTTGAACTTTCAATAAGCTGAAAAAGTTCTTTACGATATATCTGTATCCATTCAATAACCGGAAGAAAAGTGAAAGTTTTCCTTAACAATGCCTTTTGCTACAAAGAAACAGCAGTTCCACCGCCATTTTCTTCTTGCTTTAGTTTAATGCAAATAAGGAAGATAGTATAATATTCTCTGAGTTAAAGTTTTAAATCACTTAAAATCCAGTCCTCCTGTACAATTCCGTCTGCTTTAAATTTTACTCACAATAAGTGTCTTTAGAAAGCAGAAGTGGAAGCTGCTTCTGGCTTTGCTACTAAAAAAAAAAAGGAGCAAAGGCACCGTGGGGTGCGGAGAAACGCCCGGACTCTGAGAGAGCCATCACTTTCCAATCACCCAGCAAGAAAGGGGGAGAAAGGAGGATTCAATCTCTATCCAGGCAAACTCACCCCCCCCTCTTCGCCCGAGGGGAGAGGTTCCTAGCCGAGAAACAGCTGTTGATCGCTGTCTCTTCAGGCTTTGACGCAGCCCCAGGTGGACGGCTAGAAAAAGCCGCCATCTCCACAGCTGTTTTCCCACCGGAGGTCGAGAGGAATATTGACCACCTCAAAATTCTAGGAGAAATTATGTGTGGGGTTTGCTTGGTCCTTGTGAAAAACCCCAGCAGTGGCTTGTGGTCTGTAAAGACCGTGAAATGGCGACCATACAAAAAGTCATGGAACTTTTTTTATGCCAGCCACAATGACCAAGTTTCCTCTGTCTATCTATGCATAATTATACTCAGCAGAAGACAGAGTCCTTGAATAGTAGGCTATAGGAACTTGTGTCCCATCAGCCTTGAGGTGGTTTAAGACAGCCCTGATCCCATAAGGGGATGCATCACAAGCTATACAAACTAGCAGCTGCTCATTGAAATGAGCTACAACAGCATTTGAAGACAACAATGCTTTGACCTCAGCAAAACTCCTTTCATGGACCTTTGTCCACTTCCATGAAGCCTGTTTATCCAAGAGCTTTGCCACCGTGGCCTTGTGGGGGAGAAAGGAATGGTAAAAATTCGGAAGTCCAAGGAAGGCTTGAAGCTCACTCTTCGACTTGGGACTTGGATCCTGCTGAATTACTTTTAGCTTAGATTCAGCAGGATGGATGCCCTCGGCATCTATGCAAAACCCCAGGAATTCAGTGGAAGTTACTCCAATTTTGCATTTTTCCTGCTTAAGCTTCAGCTCCGCTTTGCGGAAATGCAGCAAAAGTGACCGAAGCCTTTCAGACAGGTTTTCAATTCATTCCCCTGCGATGAGGACATCATCGAAATATGGGCAAACTCCAGGAATGTTATGGAGCATTCATTCCATCATGTTTTGGAAAATGCCAGGAGCCACATTAACCCTGAACTGCAGTCTTCTGACTTTGAAAGCTCCCCGGTGCATTACGATCGTCTGGGCTTCTGCCGTTGCATCATCAACCAGTAGCTATTGATAGGCCTGGGCCAAATCTAGTTTGGTGAAGATTTGGCTTCCTTTAAGTGAGGCCAAAATGTGGCTCACCACAGGCATCGGATAAGAGTACTGCTGTAACGCTTTGTTTAGCGTGCATTTATAGTCAGCACAAATGCGGACTTCCCCATTGGCCTTGAGTGGTGTGACTATGGGTGTTTCTCATGGACTGCTATCCACAGGTTCCAAAATGCCTTGCTGTAGCAGCTTATCCAGCTCAGCATTAATCTTTTGCTTAAAGCGCAAAGGGCACCCAATGAGGTTTAATCCTAATCGGTGCAATGGAGGGGTCTAACCGTAAAGCAATTGGAGGCCCCTTGTACAACCCTAATTCTGGGCTGAATATGTCAGCAAACTCCTTGCAAACTTCCACAAGACCTGCGGTTTGCAAACTGTGTAGCCCAGTCACCTGAATTCCAAGTGCCTCGAACCAATCGAGTCCGATTAGACTCGTGCGGTCACCCTCAACCACGACAACATCCAAAAACCCTTCAAAATTCCTATGCTGCACTCTGAGTGTGGCCTCCCCTTTCACACTGACTCGGAATTCTGGAAGTTCATTAAGATAAGATTCGACAGCCTGAGTTTAACTCTCTGGCCGCTTCTACAGCAGATCTGCTTGAGGGTGTTCTGGGAAATAATTGACAGAGTTGAACCTGTGTCCAGCTCCATCGCTAAGGGGACCCCCTGCAATTTGACATCAATATGCAGCTTCTTCTTCAATGGCCGGTGGGCCCCTGTTCTCAATACGCTCCTTTGGGACGTGCAAAAACCCACCCTATTGTGGCTGGGGACCCTGATACCTTTCCGAGGCAATTCTTCTGATGGACGGTCTTTCTTGTGACCCAAACAGACAGTGGCTGTGTGGCCTTGCCAGCCACACACCCGGCAAGTAGCAGAGCGAAAACTGCAGTCGGAGCACTTGTGGCAGCCTCCATATCCGAAACACCGAGGGAATGGAACTGCCTTGTCAGACCCCTTGTCAGCTTGCTCTTTGAGCCTTCTCTCCGATGGCTGCTGCAGACGATCAACCTCATTTTCAGAATCCAGTTCGGATACCTCTCTAGCAACTTCTTGATGGACTGAGCGCGAACACGTAGGGTTCTTGGAAAGCCGCAAGGCCTTAACAGCTCCTCCCACTGCTTCTTTGGCCATAATCTCCCTTAGCACATCTTGGAAAGAAATGGCTTCTTTTGCAAAAATCTTTTGCTGCAGTTTTTGGCTCCTCAAACCACAAACTAGCCGATCTCCCAAGTCTTTGAACTCACAGGGCCTTGCAGCTTGACGCAGAACAGCAATAAAGTCTGCAGCAGACTCCGGGACATTGATCCTGCTGTTCAAATGCATGACGCCATGCAATCACTGATAGCTTCGGTTCAAAATGTTCCTTTAACATTTTCTTCAGCTCTGCGTAAGCGATGGATTCCAAAGGTGCTGGGGCAACCAAGTTTTCAGCAATGTCAAAAGTCTCTTGCCCACAGACACAAAGTAACGTTGCGGCTTTGAGCCCATCCTCTCGAACTTGGTTTACTCTAAAGTTGCCACCCTGGCAATGTAGGAACTCCAACATTCCGGATGCGTTACATCAAATTCAGACAGACGTCCAATCTTTGCTATAGTTTCTTCTTGGTGGCCTCTTCCAACACCTCGTGCTGCTCATGTTGCGAAGGGGTTCCCGGACGAATCTTGACGAGCTCTCCTCCAGCATCTTCGTACTGGCAGGCAGAGTCGCACAAGTTGGAATGCTGAACTTCTAAACACTTTGGGCCTTCCGTGGTGAGTCAGCCTAGTATTCTCTCTTTTCTTCCTTGCAGCACGATCCCACCTTCATCGCCAATGTTTTGTTCTGTGCATTGGTAAGGCATTGAAACGAGGCAGGAGTAACAACAGATGCTTCTTTATTTAAGCTTTAACAGAACAACACAAAATGGCGCTGATCCCCTTTATACCCTTTTGCAGGGAACAGCATCAGCCAATAAATGCAACGTATTTTCCCGCTCTGCGCAAGCACAATAGGCTGCAGACAGCCTGTCTGGCCCGGGCAGGCCACGTGGTCTGCCCGGGTCTCTCTGCAGCATCCTGTACCTGCTCTGTGAATCACAGGCCCAGGACATAACAAATTCCCTGTTGCTTTTCTCCTTGATTAGTTTCCATCCATTGTTTCTTCTCTTGCCCTCTGGTGCTTTGGAAAATAAGTTGAACCCCCCTCCTTGTGGCAGCCCCTCAAGTACTGGAATACTGCTATTGTGTCCCCCCTAGTCTTTCTTTTCTCTAGACTAGCAACCAAATCCTGCAACCATTCTTCATAAGTTTTAGTCTCCAGGCCTTTAATCATCTTAGTTGCTCTTCTCTGCACTTTTTCCAAAGTCTCAACATCTTTTTTTTTAATGTGGTGACCAAAACTGGCTGCAGTATTCCAGGTGTGGCCTTACTAAGGTTTTAAAAAACTTTTTAAGAACTTCATGTGATTTTGATTCTATATCTCTGTTTATACAACCAAGGACTGTATTTTTGAGCTGCTGCTGCATACTGCTGGCTCACTGCTGCACACTGCTGATTAAGTGACAACAATCTGTAACTAAGAGAATTCACTGTTGAGAAGGATATGCTCTAGCCTAGCAACAGTTGTTAGGTAAAGTATAATCCATCTACTGTAATTGGAGGAGAAATTGCTATCAGTTCATTGTGACACAGAACCTAACAATGGAGGTGTTATCTAAGTATACATAAGTCTTCACAGTATTGGGGCATCACAACAGAAGATTTAATGCCTATATAGCAGTGAATAAGCTTGCATGTTATGTTCCAAATCAGAAATAATAATGACTAATAAGAATAATCAAATTGAGATTTCAACCCTTGGTAAATTAGCTGCTCATGTCCCTGATATCATTGTATATGGAGATTTTGCTCAGGAAATGCCTTTCATTGAAAGCTTTGATGGTGTTCTGCTCTTTATGGATATTTCAGGTAAGCAAAGGAAATCAGTGTGCCACTGAGGGAAGGGGACAGATTTCAGAGATATTTTTTTTAACGGAAACTTAAGGTACTAAATGAGAAAAAATAGTGCAAAATCTTTGCTGCTCATCCTGAAAATTAGGTTTAAAATGTCCATATAAACACACAATAAACCTCAAGAGAATTACTGATTTTTCAACATGCATCTATTTAACTGTTATTTTTCTTTTCCTGTGCAAAAAAGGACTTACTTTGAGAATATATAAATGCACAGTGCAGGAAATAAGGCTCTACATGTCAACTGCTGTCAAGGAGAGATTCTATGGAGATTTTCCTTTGTCAGCTGAAACTTATAGCTGCTTGTTTCTCTTCTCCAAGCCAAGACTTTCTTTTGAGTCAACTCCTCCTGCCTGTCCTTCTTTTATCTCTAATCCACAGTCCCAAAATGTTATACTGACAGCAATTGCTTATGATTTTCAAGGTTTCACAGCTCTGACAGAAAAGTTTAGCATGAACACCAGCTTGGATCGTGGTGCTGATGAATTAACACAGACCCTTAATCACTACGTGGGTGACATTGTTGAAGGTGAGCTTAGAACTTTATTTATTTATTTATTTATTTATTTATTTATTTATTTATTTATTAAATTTATATCCCGCCCTTCTCCTTGCGGACTCAGGGCGGCTGACAATCGATTTAAAAAACATAAATAACAATTACAGAATTAAAATTAATTAAGAAGAAATATTTAAATATAGTCTAATTAAAATATGATTAAAACCCGTCTAAAAATTGCCCTAGGCCAGTCCCGCTTGTTGGAATAGCCATGTCTTAAGGGCGCGGCGGAAGGAAGGGAGATCAGGGATCACCCTGATCTCTGGGGGCAGCTCATTCCAGAGGGTGGGAGCTCCCACAGAGAAGGCCCTCCCCCTTGGGGTCGCCAGCCGGCACTGTCTGGCCGACGGCACCCTGAGGAGACCCAC